AATCAGACCTTTCCCCATATTTGAAGGAGAATACAATTGATCAAATATTTCCCACTGATATCAGAATGGTTTGAGTTGGAAGGGGCCTTTAAGATCATCTAGTTCCAACTCCCCTCCTATATGCAGGGACACCTCCCTCCAGACCAGGCTGCTCAAAGCCCCATCCAGCCTGGCCTTGAATGCTTGCAGGGACGGGGCATCCACAACATCTCTGGGCAACCCGTTCCAGCTTTTTTTTTTTTTTTTTCCAAAACAGAGTTATAGCCAGGGAATAAAATACTCCAAATATCTGTTCTTTTCTGCTTCATGCTACTCATTCAAAGCTACATTTTAACACTTTCAAATTTCAAATTAGAGTCATAGAATTGTATTTGCTTATTTACATACACATCTAATAGAATACTTCAGGCCAAAAATTTGTCGTCTCTAAAATCCTAATTATCAGCGCTGTACTGGGAGCTTCCATGTGATCCAGAGAAAGCCACTTTCCTCTTTTCCCACTGTGAATGTTCTGTTCCTACTACTCTGCTGTAGTCCCTGCGGCCTAGAGCAAATACCATTTGTCCCTTTGATTTCTCTACAAGAAAGTAGTTAATTGTTATTTTTTCTTATCCTACGTCCCTCCCCACATACCCTAACCTCACTTTGGATACAACCTTTGTCTGCATAATTATATTACACAGCTACAAATTTCCTTCCCACCAAATACCCTTCGAATACTTTCCAGATGCAAAGCTATACTGCATCTCTCCAGGAGGCCAAACAACATTTTCAAAATGCCAGATGCACATTCTGTACTAACTCCAGGGGTGGTGGTCTCTCTGCTGTATCTCTCTGCTCTGTATCTGAGGACACAAGGTCTTACAAAAAAAAAAAAGAGAGAGAGAGAGAGAAAGCTATCTCTAAAGTATCTAACCACACAAAGCACAAGAAGTCTGGAAGTAATTCATACATATTTCATCCTTGACTAGAAAGATTAGGGAGTAAATAAAAATTAAAAAATATGATAACCAACTGTTTATAGTACAGTGAAGAGCATGTTTTTAAGAACAATCATGGTTAAACATTTGGAAATGCAGTTATTGTGGCTACAGCCAAGGTATCTGGTGACAACATTCGTGACAGAGTTGTTAGAATTCATAAAAACACCACTGCAGCCAACAACTCTGAGTACACTGGGGACTCCTGCCAAGGGACAGAAGTTTTCCTTCCCTTGCTGGTAAGGTTACAGACGGAATTTAAACTGTGTGTTTGTACATGAATCGTGGTGATTTCTAAGAATGTCAAGAGAGGCTACATCACAGCTTTTCTTGCTAAGGCTACCAAGATCTCGTATCCTCAGCAAGCCAGTCCTTAGACACAGGTGAGCATGCAGAGTATAGCCTGAAATGTTTTGAAGTGGCACAGCTTCTCACACAGTGCACCCCAGGGACCCAAGATGTCCGATATCTAAACGAATTTAAGGGATATGCTGTACTACCATAGTCATTTGTCAGGTCAACAACACCGATTCAATCTGTAGGCACTCTCCAGACCCAGCTTCCAAGAGCCCCAGGTGCAAAGCCTGTGACAGCCTCTGGCACTTCCTGAAGAAAGATGTACTTGCAGATAAGCTGATGCTACCTCTACCAGAACCCTTCACCTGTCTAAGTGGGAGAGATTATCAACCACAAAGGACTAAAGAAATCTAGAGGCCATGTAGCTCAGCACTACCACCCCTCTGATTGCTTTCCTTTCAGTGTAGGTAAACATATACACAAATGGAGAGAGTACAGGACTAGATTCTGTTCCTAACTAAGCAATACATATCTGCAGTAACTCCAGTAAAGTGAATGGAGTCATGCTTGATTTATTTAGGGTAGATCAGACCCTGGGTTTAGGAACTTACCTGCAATTTGCAATGCAGAAAACCTAAAAGACTAAGTTCAGTCTTCAGTAAGCATCCAGCTTTCTGGAAGGATCATTTCAGTCAGTGCCTGAATGAAGCTGCGAATTCACTGGTCATGTACCATCTTTCAGGCATTAATACGGACACACAGGAAGGCAAAAAAAAGCAGCCAGCAGTAAAAAAAATATCTGTTGGAAAGATAACTAGCTCCTCCTTTGCCACACTGTGATTTTATCTTTGCTATCTGTTGCTTTTCTAAAAAAAAACATTTTGTAAAACATCTATTGCAAAGTGGGACAAGTGAAAGGATGTTTATGTAAACTGTATGATTCATTTCTATGAGTTTGAGATCTAATTCAGAGAGTACCCAAACTACCAATAATTATATTTTGAATTACACACAAAGTTTAAAAAGAGATGGCCAGGAATTTTTTCACAATGCATTTTCATATGAAAATGACAATTCATGAAAAATTCAAAAGCTCGAAGGAAGTTGGTTTTAAAATAACTTCTGTTCAAACAGAGACGGAGAGGTTTTTGAAATTAAAAGAATATATCTTCAAATGAGAAAGTCTCCTTCTTCATTCAGATTTCAAAAAGTAGTTTAAACTGAATTTATAACGTTGGAAGTCTTGAAATAAAACTAGAACGTCTCAATAGACTCAGTCCAAATTACTAGAAGATTTTATGTTTGAATAATATTTAGATTGGCTTTTCATCCTAGCTCCAGGAAAAATATTAAATCTCAAAAATTCTCAAGAGTTAGGATTACCATGGTGTGCCCAGCAATAGTACTAAATCTAACTGTTCAGAATATCAATGTCAGCTCGCATGACTGAACAATCAGTGGTCCATGTCTGAACTGTTTTCCTGATACCTGAACAATTGTAGGAACATTTTGGTACAAGTTACAATAGAGTTGAATTAATAATAGACTTCTTTCATTACCCTAGCACTCTAGAAACATAAAAAAGATCTATTAGAAATAGATTTTGTTCAACATGTGATTAATTTAATTTATTGGGAGTTTTTTCTATTGTTAAAGAAAACAACTTGAAATCTAAGAAAAAAGAAGTGAAAAAATAGTTTGATTTTTTGAAAATTATAGATTTTCTAAAATTATATTTTACTTTAACAAACCAAAATCTAACTTTGGTACATGTGGGGCTGCATCCTTGGGAAAGTAGAAGTCAATAATTCGTTGGGTTTGTGTTTTTTTTTCTGAGACTTTACTTCCATCTCTCATAAAAAGAAATCAGGAAATAACGAATTCCATATTTCTCTAAAATCCAGTGCCTCGGCTGAAGCAGGCATTACATCAAGATATTACCTTTATTACCTTCTGAAGCTCTAATTTAACAGCTGCTCCATTTGATTTCCCCTGCGGCCCCACGCTGCCAGAGTCCTGCCCCCCACGCCCCAACTCACCCGAGTGCCTCCGCAGTCCTGCTCATGGCCACAACAGCAGCTGCTGCTCCAAGCAGAGGTTGCCTCCTGCCTGCCAAAGAATCATCCACACAGCATAGGACAGGACAGGCTCAGTGGGACCCCAGTGCTGAGCAGTGGGCAGTGAAGCGCTGAGGTGAAGCAGAGACACATCTTCATCTGCTCTTTTTTTTTTTTCTTTTTTTTTTGACCTTGTTCTCTCAGTAGGAAAATATCCCCAGTTTGCTATGCTCAGGGACAGCAGCAGAGAAAGTGCCAGACTGTTCTGATTCCACCTACAATCTGCTAGTGTGTGCAAAGGGCATGCAAGTCCCTGAGGGCTGTCTTTCAAGGACCCCACTGCCCCCCCAAGTCACATCCCCAGCACAAGGGGTGCAGGACTCCGTGGTTCTGCCACGTGCAGCTTGCTGCTTCTTCATCCATGGCCTCCTACCATAGGGAGCAATCCTTTGACACTTTAAAGACACTGGAGTCTTTTACTTGCAGCTGGTTTCAGCACACAGTCAAGGGCAGGTTGCAGTGGCAAAGCTTAGGAACATCAATTTTCTACCTAGTAAGTTAGTCCCCCTGTACTCAGCTCTGGTGAGGATGCACTTTGAGTACTGTGTTCAGTTTTGTGCTCTTCACTATAAGAAAGACACTGAGGCCCTGGAGGGTGCTCAGAGAAGGGCAACAGAGCTGGTGAGGAGTCTGAAGCACAAGTCTTATGGAGAACAGCTGAGGGAACTGAAACAGTTCAGTCTGGAGAGGCTCAGGGGAGACCTTATTGCTCTCTACAAATGCCAGAAAGGAGGTTCATGTTGTGGTGAGGATCAGCCCCTTCTCCCATGATGTAGAAAGAGAAGGAATGGCCTTAAGTTGTGATGGGGAGGTTCAATTTGGATATTGGGAAGAATTTCTTCACAGAAAGAGTGGTTAAGCATTGGAATAGGTTGCCCAGGGAAGTGGTGGAGCCACCATCCCTGGAGGTGATTAAGGAAGGGTATGTGTAGTACTTAGGGATGTGATTCTACCACACTGGCAGTAGGTGGATGGTTAGACTAAATAATCTTAGATGTCTTTCCCAACCTTAATGGTTCTGTGATTCTATAACAGAGAGGTGTATGCAAAGCAATGCGAAGCATCCATACTGGAAGCTCCAAGCAGCATCAGGAGCTGTTGGTCACTCCCAACTCCCCCAAGCCCCTATGCCATTCATGCTAGAGTGCTAGAAACTCTCAGAAACAAACGTCTGGTCCAAGAGAACACAAATCAGTTTTCTTTTCACTATTAGTTATATCAAAACCTTTAAACCTTTTAGGAATGTTTTGGCCATGCCAGTTATTTTTATCCACAATTACCATAAATAACACTCCGCTCTCAAAAACAGCTAATGAACTCCCAAATCAAAATTTAAGCAGTTTAGAAATTAAAGCTTATTCAAGAAATGTGGCTTTTAGAGTGCTACTGAGATGCTGTTCTCACTTCATACTACTTCAGCATTATGGCTTGACAAAAAGCCATTCACTAGAATTCACTAGAAATCTTTAAAAGTGACAAAGAGACATAAACATTAAACAATTCACTGATTTCTTAAGGGACTTCATGCAGTGGAATGTTTCCAAAATTAAGAAAAATGAAAAGCACAACAGGGAATATGAATTTGAGATAGAACATGACAATTTTATATTACCATTTTTGACTTACATGCATTCCTGCTGCGCGAGTGTGAGAAAGACCTTCTTTAATGTGCTTCTAGATCAGCTAGAAGTGTCTGCCAATACAGCTACAAGATAGCGAGCAGATTCTGCTTTGGCTCCTCTATCACAGACATGACTCAGCATCGCTCCACTCACTACAGACTTGCTTGAGAATCCTCAGCTCTGTGGGGACAAGCAGAAGAGCAATCATGGCAAATAGGCTTACTTACAGGCCTACAGCCAAGGCCTATATTAATATATACGTTAATTAACCATTATATTAATGGTTGCCATAGAAAATACAAAAATGATTATTTGCTATGAAATGAGAGGTCTGATTCTCCCCAGCTGCACGTGTTTCTGGCACTGGGAAGAAACTGCCTCTCATCTTTGCTCTCTGATATCACAAGGCAAATCTGCCTCAATTTCCACTTCATTCTCCTCTTTGCAGCTGTGCCTGAGATACGATGTATGATCAAGGGGGAAAAAACAGGTACAAATGGCTTCATCCCATGGCTATCTTTGGCCGTGTCAGCAAGGTCAGATAATAATGACCCATGAACAAGGGCAGATCATTAACAAATCACTTCTAGCACTTACTTTTCCACCAATACTGCTGGAAGTAAATTTTCATCCAGAGAAACCCTATAAAATATATTGCCGACGACACACAACTGACTAACCAATGCAGTTCTATAAAAATTACTCAGGCAATTCATTAATTTTAGAGAATGCAATAGGAAATGTTCACTTCTTGGAACCATTGTGCAGCATTCTATAAAAACACGTTTCTTTTAAACTTCCCTCAGCTTTTCCATGGGGTTTGGAATTTTATAACCAAGTCAAATTTGTTGCCATCCATGTTAAGCTTACCAGTGCACCAGGCCATTCCTTTCTCAGTAGCACTTTTGATGATGTTTATCAGTATCTGACACTCAGGCCAGTGTATACAGTACCAGTGAGAATGTGGTACGTCTCAAATTAATGATGTCACACGTCTTTAATTTGAGTAGATAAAGATGTCAAAACAGGCACAAGGGGAAAAAATAGACATTGGCTGTGGCTTTAAAAAATTGTCTTACATATTTTTAACATTATTTCCCAATCAACACTCTTTCAGCCCTCCCCTAATCTCTAATGTATGCTAAACAGAGGACTGTCATCACAAGCACTTTTTAGGGGAATTGTGCAAATGCAGAATAGAGCAATTATCAGCTCTGCCATGCCTTGAAACAAGGAAGGAATGCTCCCTACTTAAGGATTACTTTCACTGGACAAAACTATTTAGAGTTTGTTAGAAACAAGTGCCATTAAATAGTCAAACAATTGATTCTGATTCATTTGTAAGCGTTCACAAAGGGCAGAGGAATAGAAAGCAGCAGTTTAATATAATTGTATTATTAGATACATGGATGCAAAACTGAAGTAGCTCGAGTGAAGCCAGTGGAGATCTCCAGATACACCACTATGGCTGACAGCAGTACTTGGTTCAGTCTCCTGCAAAGCTCAGTCGCAGCTATCATGCTTATTCAGTCACCTCAGCACAGCAAGCAGCACTTTGGAAAAAAGTGGATAACTCAGAGGCACATCTACTAGGTATAGATGGCATTCATTTGAATAGCTTTGCCAATGGATGCCATGCCAAGTCCTTTATACTAAAAGGCTTGTGCTTGATGTTAATCGTTCACTCTCTGCCAGTTAACATGTTTATCCTTCTAGGAAATACTTTGATCTATACTGGCACTTGAAATATAGCACCCAGCATTACTAGACTGGAAATGAACAAACACAATCCTGCGTGCGTTGCCAAATGGCACAGCGAAAGGCGGGATGCGCGATACAGAGCGTTGCTTAGCAACAGGAAAAGGCCACACACTGCATTTTCCTAGTTGGGTTTGGAATAGAAAATAAATGGCCTAGTAGTCATTTAAAATACACGAGAAGCTAGAAGACCATATTGCTCTGGAGACACCTGTTTGTGAGCAGTGTCTGTCAGGGGAGGCACAGCGATCTCTGAACTCAGTTCAATAGGAATGCAATGGAGAAACAGTCTTTCAGAAATTCTGCCTTAAAATGTAAATGCAACAGTAGTTTATGTTCAGAGCATGTATTCTGCTATTCAACCAGGATTTAAAACAATTGTTTATTTTTACCTTTCATCTTTAAATGCTAAGAGGTTGGTTTGCTGTTTTTAATAGAAGACTGTTAGTTCATCCCTTGTTTGCATGCAAGGAAATGGAAGTTTGGAGCAGGCAGAATTTACCCAAGCAAGCTGCCAGACTATGAATGGATCAGAGCATCCTTAGCCTAAGCAATTCAAAAAGACTTGTGCACAACACAGCCATCTCCCTTCCTCCTGCTTAGCTCCCCCCTAAACATGGCAGCTGCTCCTCAGCACACAGATAAATGGTTAGAAATATTTCATATAGGAAAAATAAGGGTCTCTGCACATGTCAGTTTTCTCCCACTGTTAAAACAGCTTCTGTTTTTATTCCCCCATTTCAGAAAATGAAACAGATTAAAGTGGTTCTTGGAAACTCCATGGGAAGTGCACTGAAGTTGGGTTAGAGCGAGGATGCCTGGCATTCACTGTACCGGTACAACTTTCTTCTCTTCCAGTTGCACTGGTATCTCACACCAACCCAACCAACAACCTTTCCTTGATAACTCCAGCTCTCACCAGTTCCAGAGGCTGAGCGCAGCTCAGTACCCATGCAGGGAGCCACCTGCCTTCAGAGCTGTGGGAGAGAGCTTGGCCCAATGGGCTGAGAGCTCCGCAGCGCATGGTGTGGCCGAGCTGAGCACAAAGGCAGCTGCTGGCAGGAGGTGTCAGGCTCTTAAGCTGCCTAACGTGGTGTAAGCTGTAGCCAACAGCCTTCTACACAATGCTGCGTATGCTCGTTGAAAATGGTGTTTCCCATAATTGCATTGTTTGCTTAGAAGGGACCTGAGATCCGGATCAAGTTCAACAAGATCTGTGTCATTCTAGCTAGTGTTGTTTTTCAAGCACACCCCTTCAGTGAACAGAAAGCCCTCTGAATCCATGACCAGACTTTCAGGGCCAGATAACTGACTGTTTCGGTTTCTTTCAAGTTGTATCGCAGTAGACACACACAGTATCCTGGATACTGGACAGATTTAAAAGTGGGAAGAAAAGGTTCCAGCACACTGGCTTTAAAAGGGAGAACAAAGTAAGTGAGGATCAGAGAGAGGAAGGCGATCGCTATGACACTAAGACAATTAATCACTGCCAGATGTTAAGGGTCACACAGCACTGCATGCTGGGAAGATCAGCAGGGGTTCTTGGACAGGGAATAGAGGGAAAAAATAACCTGTCATGTCAGTGAGCGAGTCAGGGGTTTAGGGTTCCTGCCGTTTAACTATTAGTGTGCTCTTAATAATAAAATGGCAATGCATTGCAGAAGAAGGGGAGGAAGATAGTGGAGTTGGCAGAAAAGAGGAAGTGACAGCTTAATAATCCCTGTCTGTCAAAAGCACTAAAAATACCATCCCAAATTCAATGTTCTCACTTTTGTAATGAACGCGCCAGGGTTCCTGTTTGATTAACAGAACACTTGTTGACTGACAAGGACAAATGTGCACATAGCTTCAACACAGTGTTGTGCATAAATAATTTAAATTGTACTGTGGCCAGAGCTCAGCTTGCACTGGGGTTTCTATGATAAACCCCTATGTTTCAGCAGTCCACAACATGGCCTTAAAAGAGAACTTAGAAGTCTTGAGCCCAAAGTTGGACAGAGAAGGCTGCGTGGTTTGCTGGAAGTATTAAAAATAAATCAATAACCTTTGGTCGCTGCAGACTTCTGTTAGGGCAGTGATGCTGGTATGTCTATTTGCCCAAGTTTTACCTCTCTAACATTTCGGCAGCAAATAGATTGCTTTACACTGAATAATATGAACAAGTTCGTGTACATAGACCTTCCCAATCTTCCATATTAACAGCAACACTAATGAGAGCAATACATACACTCAACTTGAGAACAGAGCTTTCTTCCTTTGAACTTTGGAAATCATTTTCAAAGGAAAGAGTTCACAACATTCTGTAAATGGTCACTCAGTTGCAAAGATTTCCTGCATTCCTTTGATAGATTATTTCAGTTTAGTTAGCTGTTATATTTTCAAAATCAACTTTTTTCTACACACACACACACACAAAAGTAACAACCAGGCATTTAACTCAAAAACAGTGAACAGTTTCTACTGAAACTAACTCATCCTTTTGTCCTCCAACTTATGTTTAAGTGTTCAATATTCATCACTTAACCACCCCTAGGGCCCACACATTAGCTTAATGAAATGAAAAAGCAATTAGGACATTCACTGACATACTGTGTATCTCAGATAAGACCTAACTTCAAAATATCTATCAATCCCACACAGGTAGGATGTATCGTGTTCCATCATATCAGTCAGAAATTACTTTTCTGAGTATTTTAGCCACCTGATGTGAAGATGCAAACATTTGAAAAAGCATGTAAATCGATGGTGGGTCTACAGAGCAACCTTGCAGTCAAGTTGTACAAGGAAAAAGGAATGTACAAGAAAACAGGATGTTCATTAGCAACTTCTTCAATTTGTTGTTATGAATTCAGTCAAAACTTATCTTCCTCTTCAAAGCATTACCACTAAGCAACTTCAGGCAACATCGGCCTGTGCTTCAGTTGCCTCCTTTGTAAAACAGAAATAGTTATTTCCTACTGTTGCTGATCACAGGTTCTCCAGTATTAACAAACATCACAATATTGCACAGAACTATAATGGGCTGCTTCAGAAGGAAGGAGAGTCAGTAGAGAACTTACATGTAACAAATGACTCACATCACATGGCAAAAGCAAGCAAGCTGCTCCTCAAACAAGCTGCTAAAATAGCACCCTCCAGCAGTCAGTTTTACATCTCCATCTATACAAGGATATCTAACTATTTAGCCTCCACTGAAGATAACATAATAAATACTTTGGGTGATGTGACACATTAACAGGCTACTCACCAACATTACTTCAAAGTATTAATGTCAACTGAGATGGGGTACATCTGCTCTACTTTCTTTTTAAATAGCACATAAGTTGAAGAACTTGCTTCGTGAGGTCTATGTCTCACAGTTTAATTTTATCCTACCTTTTCTTATTGCAGTTCACTGATGTTTCATGTAATAGACGTTTGCTGCTGCTTTGTAATGTTTATGTTTCCAGCTGGCCCAGAACACCATGTGTCACTATGCTCTAAGGGTACTTCAAGTGCACTGAAGTTTGAGGTGCTTTGAGTCATGCAGAAGCCACCTGACGTACCGACATTATCTGAAAGAAAAAAGAAAAAGAAGCAAAACTGGTTACACCAGTACAAAACACATTCTTTCATCTTCAACAAGTAATTTTACCCTGTGGGGCTGTTTGATGAAGTTGTATGCAAAAGATAACTAACGTAAAAGTAAAATAAACGTAGGTATGCTAAACAGCTTTTGGTCATCTCATTTATCCCAAGAACTTCCAGTACATCACGAAAGTGAGAATAATTGAAGGCCACTAGAAATACAATACATCACATTGCTACAGCACTACGTGCTACCGCCCTGTGCAACCCAGTTGTGATACTCCATCTACTTTGGCAGTTTCATCATCTTAGAATATCTGGAAGATTGCCAATATATTTTTCTTCACCTGTAAAATCTTATGCACAAAGCAGATTGAACCAGACTAGATGTAAAAAGAGCGCATTATAGAAATGTATGCAATCGTTTGCATAATTACACACAGGACATGTTAGGAGGGCATTTGTGAGCATAAAGTTTCTTTTGCTTCACAGAACTTTCACACGCACTTGAGTTTGTTTCATACTTCAGATTGTTCCCCTAAATGGCATACCATCATATACAGCTAAGCAATCTGCTGGATCAGTCGTACAGCCACACATGTTTTTTCCACATGTGCCTACCAAAAATATCAGAGCCTCCTATAGCTTTCTTCTTTAAAGTAAATAGTAAGGAAAGGGCTGTTTTATTCCTCTCCAAAACTTCAGTCCCAGTAGGCAAAATAGAGCTTTAGTGTTTGTGAAATGTCTGGGCAACAAAAATGAACAAAATATGTCATAAAGTATCAAACAAACAAAACCAGATTGGCTAATGGCCAATTTGAAGTTAAATATGTCTCTAATGCTTTTATATTTTTTGGACGATGAGAATAATTACAAGCAAAAAGCTACCAGAATCTAATTTGCAGTTACAGCTTTAGAAATACATTAACAAACACACACTCGTGTAGGCAGAACAATTCAGGATCTTAGTTTGCGATGATGAGTAAGATAAGGCTGTACTCATTTTAGGAACTTGTTCCTTGTTGCTAAAACTGAGTAGCTTTACTTCACATTGTAACATGATGCATTTTAAAAACAAGGCTTTTCTTGCTGAAAAGATTTAAAAATCAATTTTAATCAAACTCACATTTTTCTTTCAAATGCTCTATAAAGCATTTAAGAAGAAAACCTATCCAGGTAGGTAGATGTCATTTTACCTGAAGAAGAACAATCAACTGTGCCTGCTAATCTGCAGGCTATCTTCTCACAACAAAACAATTACCACTGTGTTGTTTACTTTACTCAGCTAGCAAAAGAGCTGTTTACTTTAAGAACGCTTTGGGAACCCAACGGGGTCTGGGACCAAACAAAATGGCTTCATTTTGTGGAGTGCTGTGCATCTTTGTGCGCCTAAAATATCAATGGAATTTAAACTATAGTGTAAACTAAAGTTACATGCTTTGTACAATCACGGCTGAATTTTAAACCAAGCCAGACTGACTGCTTTCTTGACAGAGCCTCAACTGAACAAAACACATGTAGACAATTAGCTTCGTTTTAGAAGTTGGCCAAACCCAGAGGAGAGCTGGAAACATCCCTTGGTGTTTCTCATTAGAGCCTGACTGACTGAAAGGGTTTGATAGGAGAACAGCTAGTTCACGGCTGGCCTTTCATCTCAGAAACCGGTGTGTAATGTGCCCCAGATTCTGTGAGTGTGAGTTAGGTTGTGTCAGCACAGCCTTAACTGCAAGCTGCGTTCCAGAGCACACAAACAGCGCATAACTCAGGGCAGTGCAGCTGGGAGCAGGCATGGCAGCAGGAGCACAGGGACACGGGCATTGCTGCCCGCCTGCCTGACCCTTCCTGCTGCTCCCGCAGTGCCTGCCCTCCCATCTGGCACCCTGTGTACGTGCAGATCACGGCCCTCAGAGCTCTGATCCAACCTCACTGGGGCTATTGTTAAATTACCTGAAAGTAAATGCAGTCTTGCTCTCCTCATAAATTAAAAAAAATCTAAGCCCGAGCTCAATCTGATAACGTTACTGTAATTCACTGCAATTCAGTTCTCTCTTTATCATACTCCCCAAGTACAGCTATGCCTGCATGTAGGTGAGTGCAATTGTCCTCCTCAGCATCTGGAGGGATTTGCATTTGAAGTACAGTTTGCTTCAGCAGTTTGCATGGAATTGCTATCCAACCATTTTTAAACAAACTTTAACTAAAGAAGAGTTCAATGTATGTAATTCCAAGTGCGTTCTTTACCATCAGTGTGGTAATCAGACAATAACTAGTCATATTAACAAGCCAGGCTTCTTAACAGAAGCATTAACTGCAAAAATACAGTGCATCTGCCATGAAACTATATATTTATTTCCTTATACTTTTCAAATACTGTCTTGAGTTTTGCTATTAAACCAGTATCTTTCACACTCAGGGAAGCAAGCCCAGTTCCAATATCCAATTTCCCTGCACTTTTGCTAAACCACAAAGCAGTACAATATATAGAGAAGAATATATACTGTGACACATTTTCTCAGAGGGATTTTTTTGGAGAATCCATCACCTTAATGGTATCTTTTTTTTTTAAGCTTGTGCAATTTAAATATTTCTATGCAAGTATTTCTATTCACATGCATGAATAGAGCCTATACTCCTCAGCTCACGGCCAGCAATGCACTTTCTTTCAGATAAAACACATCAGATCCCACATAAAACACATGCAGAATTTGAATATAGTTTAGTTATGTTCAAATTTTTTAGACACTATTTTCTTCTATGGTAAACTCCAGCTTTTCAAAGATGCATTCTGCAAAGACTCCCTGAAAACATCTCTGTACATAGTATTGAAACAGAAAAAAGTGAGATACCTACTTCTCTTCTACTCCCATTTAAACTGATGAACCCTCTGCTGTTAGTGGTCACACAGAGGCCCCATACTGTCTGTCATTATTCTCCATGCACACATTTCACTTCTCAAGTATTTATGTGACCAGCTATACCTAATTGCCTTCAGCATTGCCTCCTGAAGAAGGCAGGACTATCAGCCTCTTCAGATTACTCTTCCCAGTGTTGCTGCATGAACAATGCAACTATAACTCTCCAAGAACTTATTTCCTTACGGTTGCAACATCTGCAACCAGTTAATATAACATAAGAATCAGATAAGAAGGAAAGTAGCCTATGCGGTTTCTGAGAAAAGTCACTTAGATACATCCTACAAGCCCACAAACCAGAACATAAAGTTACAAATCTTATTTATTTAAAATATCATTCATTTCCAGTACTTAGGTTTGGCAACACTGTATGGCTGATCCTCTCCTGTTCACACAATCCTGGTGCAGCAGCTAAACTCAGGGATGTGCACTCATTGTCCGGTTGCTTGAAGAGAATTTCCCCATTCTAGAGAGGCTGTGAGCTTGCTCTTCTGCAGCTGGGCATACACCCATCACTCAGCAACAACCAAAACATCAGCCCAAGGCAACTCCTCCTCACTCAAGATGGCCCAAGCAATCCAAAAGGTTGGGCACCTAAATTATAGATAAATAACATTTAGCAATACCAACTAAATATCCATTAACAATACCCAATAGAGCTTACAGGCAATGTTCATCCTGCTCTCCAAGACTTACATGGGTTTCAGATCTGCTCAGAGAGAATTAATTACATTTTTATAATATATGAGAAATGCCAAGTAGCGCACAGCTCCTCATTCATTAATTAACTTTATATTATAATGATACTCACAGCCATACACTTAGGAGTATATGATTTCTAGACAGATACATTAGAGGAAGCCTTCAAAAGAAAACAGGGCACTTTGGCACAGGGAAGTAACTGATAGAAAAGGAGTTCTTGAAAAGTTCTGGAAACCCTAATGCAAAATATTTCATTATTTTTTCCCCAGTTTTTGAAATCATACTTCAGTAAAATAACTACCACTATCTCTCCAGCTGTTTTCATCACTTAAGCAAGCGGAACATTTTTGACCTGCCTTGGTCAAAAAGGGTTAGGAAAAACTACCTTATGTCATCCTTCCTCTCTTGTTCTCAGATTCTTCTCTCCTTTTTCATCTTTCTTGTGAATTTAGAGAGCTTCCCACTTCTAAATTCTCAAGCTTTCAAAGCATGACACGTGAGTTTAACACATCTTGTTAGCTTAACATCTCACAGAGAAGACTTCCTGAAATATTCTAGGTTAGCTTTACCACTACTCTGAGAAGTAATTTCTTAAGGTCCTGATTCTGTTAAGTACCAAGTATCCTTAAATCTGGTCTCACAATTAGGACCTTGGTGATTTTCCCCCAACAAATTTTGGTCCACTGCCACAAAAAACAATTGTAAATAGTCTCCAAGGAAGAAATACTCTTAAAACAGCAATGGAAGGGAAGAAGAAGAGGTGTGAAAGGGCTTCTAGCAATGCAGTGGCTGTTGTTGCATTGTGAATACATCCTGACAGCTCCCAGAGAAGCAGCTCCTATTTTTCATATATCCTCTTCCTTTTAGAACTAGCAATAAAAAAAAAAGGGAAACTTATTGCTTTTTTTGTGTTTTATTCCAGAATTAAGTAGAATACAAAAGATTTCAAACATCCAAACCACAAGCACTGTTTTCTAAGGGTTTAGGACTGATGAGAAACAAAACCTTTATGCTGTTCAATACAGCTAGTGTGGGTGCAGCCCTTTCTGCAATGTTCAGGGTAGCAGAATATGGTGCAGGACACTCATGCCTGCATAGGCATCAGGCATTCACACTCTGTGAAGCATGGAATGAACAAAACTGATATCATAGGAGAGAAAGTAGGAACTTTAAACAGTCCTTTAAAGGTGGTCTGATGGCATCCAGTCATGTAAGTTCCACAAAAGGCACTTATCTTTTAAAAGCAAACAAAAACTTGAAAATAGTCAGTCAAATATTGAAGTTGAACCTGTATTTAAGATCAAAGTCTTAATCAAGCTGTATATATCAAAGTATTACATACACATTACATAATTATATACATATGCATACATATTATATACAGATCCATTTTACATATAAATAAATAAATAAAATTTGACCCTGAAAGATGACTTTATTTTCCTTCAGAAAGCTCTAAACAGTAGGTCATACAATTTAACAAAGTTGCAGGGTAATACAGTTACAATTTACAAGTGTGAAAGTTACTGACAGATTCCTATTAGGATGCAGACTGTTAGCTTGCTCATCTAATGGTATTATTTCAGGACCAGCGTACTATGTAGCTCCATGTGTGTCTTATTTTACACTTCATATGTCATGTGGCTAGAAGAACTCAGTAATATCAACTGGAGAAAAAGTCAAGTTTCAGCACTAGAGCCATCTAAAGACATTCAGAGTAAGATTTTAAAATAAACAAAACAAAAAAAGCATTTTTTCCAGCTGAATGCTGCCTCCCCCTCCCCGCTGCCTCCCCTCCTGCCTCCAACAGAGCCAACACCAGATGTTTCAGAAACCACACACTGGGCAGATACACAGGATCAGCTGTCCGTCCGTCCATAAAGGCCTCAGCCAAAGGAAAAATATCTACTCAACTTAGTTCAAAGAGCAATCCAGTAGCAGAAAGATGCAAGCCTTCCCTTTTAAATCTCTCTTACTTTTTAAAACAAAAAATAGTCTGAAAATTTCAAATTTTAAAACTGCAAAATTTGGTATGAACTAGTTGAGATTAACGTGCTAATCTAAGAACACAATTAACGGTGAAGAATACTTTCAGAAATATAGTATTAGCACAAAAATTAAATCACTGGAGAATTAACATAGATTTAAGAAACAAGCGAAAGAACTTCACTATAATGTATACATATTTCACCCTAGAGCCCAGCAAATACATGCTTTCTCAATAAGCAAATATTTTCCAAAAATTCAAGTGTCATTTACCCAAATACTCGTAATGATAAACACAAAGTGGTAAATAGGATTTTAAGAAGTAACCTTTATCAAAAACGAATAACATTCGGTAGAATGAGATTAGATACTGGAATTGAGATGAATACTTAAAAATTGGTTTATCACTAAATAAAAGTTAATATCATAGTGAAAGATGTATTTTCATGTCTGTAAGTGCAACAGACAGTGTTTTTGTTTCTGACTACGGCTGCTTTTTCACTTCTAAAAGCAGTAGCTACAAAGACACAGTTAGAATTCCTGCTGACAAGTGATAGGGTCACAAGCAGGGCTGGGGAGCAGAGAGCAGTGCCAGGATACCACCAAAGTGGGGCTGGGTAGCAGCCTGGGTCAGCAGCCCTACCTCATTACAAGTGGCCAGCTGAAAACACCTCCTGGGCAGCTGCAAGGCACGCAGACAGCCTGCTCTGCCCCAGCTGGCCCGGCATCAAAGGGCTGAGAAGGTGGCTCAGTGCCACTGCTCCCTCTGGCTCTGCTCAGCCTCACAAAGGCCAAACTCAGCACAGCTGAGAATCCATCCCAGCATGTTAATCATACTGCTTGGGTGGAATTGCTGTCATGCTGAAGTTTTTCATTTCCTCCATTTTTTAGAGCCTGACTTTTCAGAAGGACACAAGGGATGCTTTAGCAATGAGGAGACAATCTGATTTAGAAGTGAAGCATTTTGGATTAGAAATGTCATGTAACTTGTAACTCTAGAAACTAACTGCAGGTTTTAGAAGTCAAAGCACATCACATACAGGAGCTGATGGCAAGATTGTACCCAGAGAGTGGTGGTAGACAATGGATCACTGGTGCTGATGGTGATAGGTGACAAGTGGTGTCCCTCAAGGGTTGGTGCTAGCACTGGTGCTCTTTAATATCTTCATTAACAACATAACAGTGGGATTGAGTGCATCCTCAGCAAGTTTGCTGATGATATCAAGCTATGTGGTGCAGCTGACCTGCCTGAGGGACAGGATGCCACCAGAGAGGCCACCAGAGAGACCTGGACAGGCTTAAGCAGTAGGCTTAGGAAAACCTGAAGAGGTTCAACAAATCCAAGTTCAAGATCTTGCACTTGGGTTGCAGCAACCCCCTCTGTCAATACAAGCTGGAGGACAAAAGGATTGAGCACATCCCTGTCAGAAATAACTTGGGTGCATTGGTGAATGACAAGCTGGACATTAACCAGCAGTGTTTCTTTTCTTCACAATTCGAAAAGCCAGCCATATCCTGGACTGCATCAAAAGAAGTGTGAGGTGATCCTTTGTTCTGCCATAGTGAGATCTCACTGGAGTACTGCAGCCAGATGTGGAATCCTCAATACAGGAAAGACATGGATCTGCTGGAGCACATCCAGAGGAGGGCCACAAAGATGATCCAAGGGATGGAACACCTCTCCTACAAGGACATGCTGAAAGAGCTGGGACTGCTCAACCTAGAGAAGAGAAGGGTCTGGGAAGATCTGATAGCTGCCTTTCAGTACTTGGGGGGGTGGGGGGGGAGCTGTAAGAAAAAAGGGGAAAGACTTTTTGGCATGGTCTGTTGTCACAACACAAGGGGAAGTCATTTCAAACTAAAAAAGAGGAAATTTATATTGATTATAAGATTTTTTTTTTTTTTTTTTTTTTTTTTTTTTACAACAAGGAAAGTGAAGCAGTGGCTCAGGTTGCCCAGAGGTGGTGGATGCCCTGTCCTTGGATACATTCAAGGTCAGACAGAACAGTGCACCGAGCAACCTGATGGAGCTGTAGGTGTCTCTTCATTAAAGGAGAGTTGGACTGTATGACCTGTAAAGTCCCTTTCAACTCAAACAATTCTATGATTCACAACAGGAAGACAAGATCATGATCTTGTTTCAGATGTCACTTGACAGTGAGGCAAACAATACAGTCCTAACCAGATGCTAAAAATGCATTCACATCAAGAAAAATGTCCTGCAGTTAATACTGATTTGCCGAAAGTGCAAGAAACTGAAACAGGTGCTCCTTCTGTCAGGACCTAGCACAGCCTGGTGTGATTTGTCTTTTTTCGATAAGAAGAGGGGAAAAAAAAACCACACAGCAATTCCAGTATGATTAAACAAAGTCGCAAGAAGTCTTGTACAAGGAACAGGTATAGACATGGTATTGGCAAAAATTCTTAGACAAAAGCAGACATTTCACACAATGGAGATATAATTCAATTCTTTTCTGTAGTCTAGCCAGTGTTGAGGCCAAGATAATTAGGAGTTCTTTACCATAATACCATAATGATATTTAAATGGCACACAAAACAGGGACATATCACAACTATGTTCCAATCCAATTAATAGCTCAATTTATTCTGGTAAACCCAAGATGAATATTTATCTGAAATCTGATGGATATTTATAATACATAAAATTGCTATCAACATAACATTATTTATTGCAGAAGTTGTTTGCAGGAGTTACCACAGTCAGAGGCGACTGCCTCCTTTGTATGGGAGTGATTAAGATTACCATAGTCCTTCACGTTATGATATGCAAAGTTGTATATAAGGTCACAGAGACTACGGAGACAAAAGATAACTTGTATAATAACAACACGTTTCAAGATTCGAAAAGTTTCTGGATTATGACAATACATTCTTTCTGAT